AGCCGCGAAACTGGCTAACTAGCACATATTAGGAAAGGCGATTTGCAAAGATTGATAAAAAACCTTATACTCACTTCTTGTGTAGATGAAGCTCGATCACGAATGATTCACGCGACCATAGATGCATTTAGGTAGATGGGGGATCGGCGCATTCCCTTCAAAACGAAAGTAACGTTAATCCTCTGCGTCTTCAGCAGCTCAGATGTCGGGAGTAAATGACGACTGCTATGTTCATTACATCCAACAACAAAACACCTCAATCGCTTAATCTGAGACATTCTTGTCTTCCCCTGCACTGGAGTCAACACTATGGCGGACTGATGACAGCTCACTAAGGGCAGGTCTAAGATAAGACGGCCTTGTCAATCAACTATTGTGGGAGTGGCCTGTTCAGAACTACGTCATTCTGACAGGAATCTCAGAACAGCCTGACTTGAGAAAGGGGATTTTTAAATAGGGATTTTTAAAAAACCACTGGGTGCATTTTTATCATTATAGGATGGATGTTTACACACACTTCCAACACACATTTATGTTCAAACAACAACAAAAGTGAATTTTGCATCCGATGACCCCTTTAAAATATTGACCCATTGACACGGAATCAATTCAATGTGGCATGTTCAGTGGCGGCTCTGACGGTTTCGGTGTGTTCGTTCAATGAAGGATTCGTTAGACTGATTCGAACGGATAACTCTTATGTCTTTGGGGCAATTCGTTAAAAGATTCATGAGAGTCAAGTGCTTGAATCAGAACACACAGGCTGCGCTGTATGTTTGTTTTCTCAAGAAGCACGTGTGCAGCACTATGGGATAAAATATAATCAGAATATCAACTTGCATAATAATTATGCATGCATGCACTGTATTTTTCCTCTTCTGCTGTCGTGATAATGCAAGAAATGTTGTGTTCAGCTAATCAGAATTTCTCTGATTGGCTGGAATTATGGCATATTGTAACGCTGGGTTGTGTTGAGCAAGAGAGTAGTTAGCATTTAGAGAGCACTGAGGGCGGGCATCAAGGGAGCAAGCTAGTGAAACGTTGCAAGCGCAAAAGAGAAGGTCTGCACACATCCAAAAACTTATTTTAAATGCAAAATTGATTT